ACGTGTAGGTGACGGTCACCTTCTTCTTGTAGCTGTAGTCGTAGTCGTCGCAGCGCTTGCGGCACCGGTCGTGGTGCGCGCCGTGGTGGCACTCCTTCTTGCAGTGGTCGCGGTGCTGGTGCCAGTCGCCGCCGGGCGCGGCCTCGCGGGCCTCGACGGGGGCGATTTCCTCGGCGGCCGGAGCTGGCGCGGCCAGCGTGGCCGTCACGGCCGTGAGCAGGAGGGCGGCGGAGAACTTCATGGTGATGGAGGCTGGGACTAAGGGAGGTGACGAGGGTAATGGTGCTGAGCGAGTGTGTGAGGAGGAGTGGAGATGGAGTGAAGTGATGAAGCTGGAGTCGAATGAATGGGCTTCGAGGACGACCTCTTATACTTGGATGTGATGCTGAAGAACAGCTTGAGCAATAATGATGGCTGGTAGTCGCTTTGGTGTCACTTCTCTCTGGTTCAAACACGACTTCATTCTGTGGTGCTTGCTGGAGACATGGGATGCCCTCGCAAGAGCTCAGATCTCGACGCTACACCGTCGGACTAGGGTACTGGACTCAACTCTGTTTAGCTGCCCCGCAACCACCCGTGGTATCTCTGTTCGCGGACGCTTCTCTAGCGCTGGTCTTTGCTATCTGAGTTGGGGAGATCATGGGCTGAGAATTCTGCATGGTTGCTGGCTGAGAAAATCTCGTCCTGTCGAATTACATGGTGTTTGGAGACTCCTTCAGCAACCCACAGCTGATAACACCAAGACATATCTGCTCAAGTGCCGAACTAAGGACATGTAGTGCTCACGGTGGTCGAAAGGAGCTCGTGTTTGATTCGGTCCTTCTGCCCTCAATGTCCAGCTCAGCCACGACGAAGATAAGTATGAGGATGACCTTTTGAGTGCTATCTGGTAGGTGGTAGGCGTCTATCTCTGTTGCTCCGAGATCGACATGTAAGGCGCTAATCAAGTAGCTGCCGTACCCTAGCACATGTTATCATCAAGGCTGGGCGGAGCTCGAGAGCTGTGCCGCACAGATGGGAGGCACAGCTTGCGATCCAGAATCTCCTGAATGCTTTGTCCGGACGCAGGATCCAGTAGGAGGTTTTCGATCCCCTAGTGTGTCGAGTCTAGTAGAAGCTGCTTGGCTAGGCTTTCCAGACCTGGGTCACGCTTAGAAGAAGTAGGGTCATTACTTGGGCCCATCAATGTTATGAGGCCATGGTTGCTCGCAGAAAGTTTTCGTTGGCTGCTCGTCAGACGATTTGTGGCTTTGCAAAGCCCAACAGCCATACGTTCAAGCTTGAAGTGGCATTACTATGCAGAATGCCCAAAAAGCCTGCGGTTGTACATAATATTCAGGAGTTCAGTACTTGGATTGTGGAACTAAAGAATCCGACAGTGATGTGCGTATCAGAAGCCCCATAAACTGGGGAATACCGTAGGAATAGCAAGCATGGAACATCTCTCGAGATCAACTGATAATGAGTGATCCAACTTTCTGCCGACCCGACTGGGCGGCGCAAGGTGTCACCTAGCGCAGCCCCTGTTATCCAGTGAGCCGTGCCTGCAAGCCACCTGCTTACAGAAAGTAACCTCAATGTCGATGACGGCGCGATTGAAACAAGGTTTACCTGTCAAATTAGCGACGCGGCTGGGCTGGACGTCCAATACGATCGTGATGATGCCAATCAGAGCCATGTCAGCAAGCGACATCGGCGACTTTTGTCCATTATCAATCCTGTCTCCTGTGGAAAACCTTTAACAAACTTCGGCTACATCCGTGTCTAAACTCATCGTCAGATGAAGGACCTGTGAACACGAGAATTAGGTCGGTCCTATCGCTTGCAAGGCAAGGTAAAGAGATGGGAAAAACTTTCAGTTCAGCCACAGAATCGAGCATTATTTTACAGCCTTGAGTGGCATTAAAGTAAATTCAATATTGCGTTAGGAGCCGCGGTAAGGCTGGCCAGCTGCGATTGAGGCCCGAACATGGACCCCAGGGGGGGGATCACAACATTGCTGTGACTGAATCTGAATACACGGAAAAGCTGACTGAACTGTGCGTCAAATTTGGGGGAAAGAATGTGCCAAAAGCAGTCGGTCTACGAGTACACGACCAAAATATTTCCAAGAAAAGGAACAAGCATGTATTGCACAGCCCCCCTTGTCCGCCTGAAGAACATGATCAAGCACCAACTCCAAAAGCATTATCAACCCTCAGAACCGCCGCCTCTGCCTCGACCGCCTCTCCCGCTCAAACAGCCCCATGGCCGTCATGACAGCCATGATGGCCCACCTCTCCCCAAGCAGCCCCGTCAGCCCCGTGCCCAAAAAGGCAAACCGCAGCGCCTTGCTCATGCTGTACCCCATCTCGCTCCACACGGCCACTACCTCGGCGCCGTCGCTGCCACGATGGGCCCCCGCTGCGAGGCCAGCGCGCCTCCACTGCTGGTCAGCACCGGGGGGAGGCCCGCCAGCCAGCCTGACGAGCTTCCAGCCGTAGCCCCTGCCGCCAAGGCTCGCGACGGCGTCGCCCCGGCTGCGACGCCACTGGAACTCTTCGAGGGGCCAGCGTCCCGATGAGCCCGGGGGGTGGGACACTGAGGTGCCGACGTCGATGGTGAAGGAGTAGCCGCCGTGGGCGAAGCCGGTAATGGGGTCGAGGGACAAGGCCGAGGGAACGCCGGGGATGGGTGACGGTGGCAGAGTTACGACGATGCCGAGGGAGAAGGGGGCGAAGTCAAGGGTTGCGAGAGGGGGGTGGCGTTCTGTTGGGCCGGAGTGGAGGATGAGAGAGGCGACGCCGGCGAAGCCTGAGTAGGCGCGCAGGGCGTAGATGGGCTGGGCCTGGTTTTCTGCGAGAATCATGGTACGGCTGAACCCTTGGAGATAGACATTGAAGGCTGGCGGGAACTGGCGGGGTATGGATGGCGGTCCGGCATTGGTGTTGCCAGGGTAAGATGTTGAGGGACGATTTGGTTGGGGTGTTCTCGCCGGCCTCTGAGCTTGAGCAGCTTGACCTGGATACGGGGAGAGATGGCTGGAGCTCCGGGGTCGACGCGAGGGAAGTTGTGGGATTGAGCTATGGCTGGGGCTCGGGTTCAGTAGATCCGGATTGTGCGATGAATGAGGTCGCGGGAGGCCCTGTGTTGCGAGACCTGGTCGAGGTGAATTGGGTGGTGCAACCTCCTCGTATGGTGGTGGGGGATCATCCTCTGGGTTGTTGTTGTTACTGTTGGGAGGTTGAAGATGGTCCATTGAGGCGATAGCGAACTATTCTTGCTCGGCCGATAGAGACAGTAACGATGCAACGACGATGAGTATCGTGATACGTTACCTGCTACCTCTGGAGAGCAGTGTCTTCCGTGACTTGGCCGCGTCACGGATGACATGATGTCATTGTTGCTCGGCGCTGTTTGTGAGACAAGAATCGGATAGATGCATATGTATTTTATTTCCTTCTGGATTTCTTCTTCTTTTCTTCGTCGCTAATGATGTCGTTTGGATCGTCTTGATCCTTTGTGATATCTTCTTCTCAGGACAAGAGCAGGCTGATCATGACACCTGATGAGACAGCCAGAAGCAATGCCTTTGGTGGCATCGCAATATTCGCACCGGCTTCTTCAAATGGGTACTTCTCGATCCCATATGCTTGGCTCCATATTTCCAAGCTGTCGGATGAATCCTCCTTTTTAATGATGGCCTGAAATCGGTAGTCCCTCCAGGCTTCGTCGCCAGTGCGCCGACTCTCTTTTTCAATCACACTGAGAAAACTGATGTTTCCCTGGGACGGATCCCAACTCCATGAATGATTGCCAAAGCCATAGATGAGGGGCTGGTGGAGAAGACGATCTTTTGAATAGTCTAGCGCGAGAAAGCCGAGATCCAAAAGCTGGTAACGTGCATGTAATGGTGAAAGCGGGCCTGTTGACCACTCAATCTGGACGGTGGAAGAGAGATCGAGCTTTTGCTCTACGGATGGGCCGGTAAAGAACAGAGCTTGGGCCGCCAATGCCAGTAAAAGGCCAAATGTGAGGGTTGCCAGTTTATGCATCGTAGCAACGGGACAGGTGGGAGGCGTGCGAGCCGCTCGGTTTTTGTAGACTCCTGAACAGGGGCATTCTGACAAGCAGATACGCCGTGCTGCCGGGTCTGAGAGAAGTGTGCAGGTGTTTATATTGACCACAAGTTGGCATACTTGGGTCCCCTGACCGGTTATGTCTCACCGAAGGAGTGCGATTCCGCGATGATCGTCCACAGGAAGTGGCGCAGTTGCACACCTGCAAGTGATGAGCCAGGTTGTGCAACACTCTCGCTTCCCACAAGGATCCACAGAACTTCGACCAGACTTAGACGGTCGTGTTGTTCGTGATGTTTCTTATCCCGCAACAGCATCGGAGAAACACGTCAGTTGTTTATCCAATCTAGTAAGGGTCAATCCAACACATGCCCTTCACACTACCTACCTCGATCCTAGCTCAACGTACCTTAGGTGTCAGAGCAGGGTCCAGAACAGAGTGAAGAGGTCTCCCGCACGTGGTCCGCAGGCGATAGAATATAGGGAGGGGGTCGGGATATATCTGAATTCTGGCCCTAGTCCTTATATACACCTTCTAGTAGCCCATAGCTTCTAATCGACCCCCTGCCCGGTTGGCTTCGCAGGGCTACCTGACAAACACCCCCCCCCCCGGGGGTCCAAACCCATCAGATTCAGATTTGCACTGCTACTACCAGTGACGATCATTCTTGTGTCCGCGCCCGCGGTCTTCCCTCTGCCCTCGGTTCTCGCTCCAGTTGCGGTCTACGGCCGTTGTCATGGTGGCCCTAATTCTTGCCTTAGTCGTGGTCACGGCCCCTGCCATGGCCGGTCTCTTTGACATTTCCTCTGTTGCTGCCGTGCTGGCCACCTCTACCTCCATTGCTTCCTCCACCACGGCCACGGCCACGGCCTCCGTGCCCGCCTCGATCTCCACCACCAGCATGGCCGCCGCGACCGCCATCTCTGCCGTTATGGTTGCCACCATTACTGCCACCTCCGCGACCGCCGCCACCGCTGTGTCCGCCTCGGCCACGCGTGGCACCTCCTCGACCACTGCCATGGCCGTTACCACGGCCACCGCTGGGGCTCCTCTCGCGGCCTCCACCAGGGCTCGCGCTGCGAGGCTTCAATAAAGGGGCAGGCCAGCCGTTGTCATTCTGTACAAGATCAGCCATGCCTGAGCCAAGAGTAAACAAATTTGCGAGACATTGATAGGTCCCATACCAAGACCTCGGCAGATCGCTCAGAAAGATCCACGACTTCGCCATTGGCGGCGGTTTCGGTGAGTGGCACAGCAGAACTGGCGATAGCAAAGGCGGCGATGCTGATAATTGCGATCTTGCCTAGGGGAGCCATGTTGCTATTGAAAGATTAAGGACTAGGCTTTTGATGAGTTGACAGCGATGGAGTATGATATTCCAAGATTGAAACCATTTTAAGTATCAAGTAACTGATCTAGAGTAGAGGCGGGCATCATACGTCTTTTATAGATGATGTCTATCACCGAAAGCCTCCCACAGCCCATGCAAGGACTCTAATTAAATGCTCATTAATAGCCTCACTTCACTCACAGATGGTCCACCTCTCCATTCAATTGGCTCACAATTGAGAATACCAGCAAGTAGTTCAGATGTTGTCAGCTTTGACAGAGCTGAACAGCTTCTCGGACACTACATCTGCAGCAAGTCTCGAGGTCGGGCATCAAGCTAACGGGACCGATTTTTTAGGTTCTCGATAGGATCTTCAGATAGAGCTTATCATTAGCTCTTAGTAAACGTCTCTAGGCCGTGGGCAATCCTTGTCCGAACATAGCTGCGGACAGCACAAGAGGTGTCACTCCCGCAAACACCTCACTATTAAACCTTCATTCGTCTGATTCTAGAAAGTGCAATGAATCCCAGAGACAAGATTGTGCGGTAACGTCTCTTACGGTGTCTCCATTAGGCTTGGAGAACCTTCTTTACATCTAATTGTCTGTAGACTTGGAAATGTGCTATCGACTTACCCAGAGCTTCTGTCTCATATTGCCGTTGGGTGATGATGAATACTCTTCACAGCGTACTTGCTCGTGGCGTTTGGTCGTTGAACTCAAAGACCTCGGCGTATCCGGCTGCGTGATCGTCGATGTCAAGGCATGCCCAGACCACCTTGATCCTCAACAAAGAATCGAGGGTGGGCCGCCACTTGTAAGGGCGTGCAAACAGCCAGCTGGGAACGACAGTTTTAACCCGTGAGAAACTAAAGAGATTCGGAGTAGCGCCCCTTGATCGCGCGGGACGCCCAGCTGATGTCTAGCGCATACCATACCCACGCGGGTAGCTAAAGCATTTTAGACCGCTATTCTTGAGCTAAGGGCTACCTGCATCAGACGGGCCGCAGTGAGACTCCCGGGGTCTAGCCAGAATCTGGCATTCTGAAAGCCCCGACCATGCTGCTTTGACAACATCAAACCCTCATGTGTTCATGGAAGCTCTCGAGACTGACAAGATGCGAGATTGCGGTCCATACACAATTGAGAGACGGTGAAGATCGCGTCTCGGATTACCAGCAATGAATCGTCATATGTTGCTTTGCGTCTTACCTCACGGTCGTTCTGTGTCCGTTTGTGGCCGCCCACCTCGTGGTGGACTACCCAATCTGGCCAGGAGGCGTCAGCCGTTCTACCGCTTGTGCGATCAACTTGCGCCTCCTGCAGCCCCCTCACCGTCCCGCTCAAGGTCTAAAAGCATAAATTCGAGCTGACGGCTAATACAAATGATCTCCCAATCGACACTCGAGAGGTACCGCCCTCAGATGTACCATCTTCAGCCTTCACAAGTCATTGCTAGATAATGTATCAATATGACATCAGGATACCAGCTAGTCAATCAACTAATTACACCATCTTCCGTAACCTAAAGCTTGAAATGTAGTTCCCTGGCTAAGATACAAGTCTAACAAAGCTTTTTTACGTCAACTATCCCAATCCGGACTGGGTGAAAGCTTTGGGGCATAGCCTCATGAAGTAATTTCAATTAATACCTTGCCCGGTGACCTGGTGAGTACAAATCCGAAGGGGCTCGATAACCGATGGTTCGTCATAACGGGCCTGCCTCGTTCTCGATTAGTCACTTGGGGCGCAAGAGATGCATGTTTTGACGGCTTTTATCTTGGAAAGCGCGTGCTTATATATTAAGCGGTTGGGTTGCAACTGATCCTCCAACCGGTGCGCCAACTTTGGGCCCCTGGTGCATCTCTTTAACCCTTGTATGGTCCCAAGATGATCGGCTCCCGCGGCTTCGATTTACAGCTTGGATCGTTTACTTTGGTCGTTGCAAACATGGACTCTGACTCCTGGATCGGTGCCCGTATTGATTCGTTCACGTTGTTGTATCTTACTCGAGGCTTCTTGACGGTATCTATATAGCGCATGGCAACCTGGTTCCCAAGAAAAGAGGCTTCGATATGTTCAACGGCTGCGACTTGGCGGCATGTTGATCTCGGTTCTAGGATTATCAGACAAGATTGTGAAACATGAGCCCAAGCTGAAGTCGGCACGCAGATTAAGCGTAAGGCGAAGAGAAGAGGTGGGTATTGGATGATCCACTTGAAGTCAGGACGCCATCAATCTGTCGGTTCCCATCATCTTGCACAAATATGAGCGACACCACCGTACAAGCCTTGGTCACCCCATGCATCTCACCAATCCATAAGGCCATCAGTTCTTCAGTGTGGAAAGCCCTGGTGCTCCTGATTCGATCTTTTCCGAGCACGTCGCGTTCATATATCTTTGTATCCAGCGCTGAAGAGCCGCTCTCCCTCTTCGCCATCAGAATACGAAGCCAAAACCACCTCTGAACTGCATGCCCATTTCATTGAGCAGCAATGGGACAATTCATTTACTTCGGCACGACGACTGACATTATCCATTCATATCATTGTATTAGCGATCATAAAGCTACCGAGCCAGCGCGTTTCAATCATCAATGCAAGTTATCCCAACACCCCTCAAGCAGCAACCTGCTCACTCTCCCAAGCAGGCCAGGCGCCCACAACGGCGCCAGCGCCAGAACAACTGGAGATGACCTGCGAGTTCTTCTCGGCGTTGGGGCCCGCAATCTCGTTGCCGGCAGGGTCATAAATGTACGACTGGAGGCTGCCGGGGCCGCCATAGTTGATCCACAGCAGGCGGAAGGGGACGGGCACCGACGTGTCGGTGACGGTGAGGGTGTAGGCGCGGTAGACGCGCTCCTCCTCCTGGCGCGTGAGGACGGCCTTGTCGTAGGTGAAGCCCGAGATGGCGTTGGCGCCGAGCCAGACGAAGACGGAGTTGTCGATGTACGGGATCACGATGGTGTAGTCGCCCGTCGTGGCGGGGTTGATGTAGCCGCGGTGATCGATGATGGTGTGGGAGAGCTGGGTCTCGGGGCCGCCCGTGACGTCGGGGCCGTAGGCTGGCGCCACGAGGGGAAGCTGCCAGTCGCCGTAGACGGGGCCGATCTTGGGCGAGACGCCGGTGAAGTCGGGGACGACACCCTGGACGAGGTTGGCGATCACCGGGGTGTAGATTGTCTCCTCTTCAACCCGCAGTCTCTCGATGAGAGGGTCGTCGAACTCTGGGGTGTAAATGGCGTACTCGAGACCCTGGGTGCAGATCGGACCGGCCACAGTTTCGGTCGGGGTTGCGGCGGTGACGGTGACGGTCGTCGGAACGTAACCATCAAAGCACTGGCAAGCATTCCAGTAGGAGGCGAGGTCGGGACAGCTGCTGGCGTAGGCGGGCTTCTCGCCGGTTAGGGTAGGAGGCTCGGCGCGAGCGCCATGGACGTTGCGGTTGTAGATAACCGCAGCCGTGACAGTGGCCGTCCTGAAGGGCTGTCAGTCAACCCGACCTTGTCTGGTATTGGGCAGGGAAGTCTTACGCCGGAGTGACCGTCGTGGTGGACGTCAGGAAAGCCCTGCACAAAGCCTGGCGGTCCTCAAGAGAGGGCGACTTCCTCGCAGTGCCAATGACTTGACGACCGCAGTTGTTGTTGCAAGGACCAGCAACGGCCAAGCCGACAAGGCCGAAAGCAGCAATGAAGGACTTCATGTTTGGAGAAGACGTGCTTGACAGTGAGAGAGGCAAGTTGATGCCGGCGAAGAAGTCTATGTTGATGGATATGTTTCTGTTCATGCCAGAGGGCCATGACACATGAGCATCTTATACTCAATTTGACCTTGTTTGAGTGACAGCATCCAGCCCTTGGCCGCCCCTTACGGGAACTCCGAATTCGCTTGTACCATGCAAAAACAACATTCGCTTCTCGTAAGTTTCACGATAACCCAGCGAAATCTGCCCCGACGCATCGGAATCTTCGGCCTCTCGCTTTTCGTCAGCTGGGCTCTAGCAGCGTCCACTTGGCCGCGATGCCATTCCCGTGCACTTGGCATTCAATAGCATCTCAGCCCTCGTTTTGCCCATCCCCCTGTCACCACCCAACCGCGGGGAGAAAGGCTGCCTCGCAACGTGGACCCCTGGAACAGCACCCCCGACCCCCGAGGAACCCCTGGAGAGACAGGCCCAATATGGATCGGCCTGGACTGGCGGTCGGGACGGGAAGGGCTAAGACCGGTCGGCCCCTGGTGTCCCGACTCCGCGAATAGCCACGCTACAGAGCCCATTGTCCTGAATGTGGCCGTCTGCCCAGGGCTTAGCGCACCTTTTGATCAGCTCCTGGGGCAGCGCATCTAGGCTCGATCCCTGACAGCGTTGACAGGAGGAGCTTGTGAGACATGGCTGGGTTCTTCACTGCGCCTAACCTGTCAGAATGGGCGCTTCACGTGTCGGAATATCCACACCGTTGCGACGCTGGAAATCATCATCCTTGTTCATTCGATTCTTATTCTCTGGTCTGTGGGGTAGCTGAGAGGACAGCCAGTCCTAGCTCGACGCAGGACTCAATAGCATCGCCTACGACAAAAGGTGCACGCGCGCGCACTGGTGGGTGGTACGATGCCAACCTAACCCCTAAAACATCCCATCACCTCAATTCGGCACAATCAGCTGGTCGACGTCAGGTCCCCACTCGCCAGCAGACACAACAACGACGTTGGCGCCCTCCTTGAGCTCGACGTTGACGGCGCTGCTGCCCGTCTCGGTCGAGTGGTGCCTCGTCGAGACGAAGGCAATGGCCTGAGAAACTCCATTGACCGAAACCTCCGCATGGCGAGGCGCGACGTCGCCGTTCTTGTACTTGATCGTAAGTGTCTTCTCGCCGGCAGAGGCGCTCTGCACGTTCTGGAACGTGATCTTGCCGCCCGTGTCGCCGCCAATGTATCCCGCGGCCTCGCCGCCGGTGCATTCGGAGCAGGACACGACCCTCGCGCCGTTGGCCAGTTCTGCATCCTCGCCTTCGAGGTCCGTCTCGCCAGCGCGAACCGACCAGGTCCCGGTGGAGACGTCGGGCGACCAGCTGTCGTACCAGTCGAGCTTGACATCGGTGCCGGAGACTTTGAGGGGGAGCCAGATATAGGTGCTCGCGGCGAGGTTTGATGAAACCCAGCGGTCTCCGATGTAAATGGCATCGCCGTTACCGAGCGGCTGGATGTAGCTGACCTGGCTGCGGTACGTGTTGGACCCCACGGGGGCAAACTCGGTCCATTCCGACCAGGGACCGGAAAGTGAGGTTGCAAAGCTATACACCTTGAGGATGATCAGCACAGCTATGTTGGCGGGTGGAGATGCCGAGACTCACATTGTCGTTCGGGTTCCAGCCGGTTAGATGGGAACCAAAGATGAAATAGTGTCCGTTCTTCTTGAGCACAGCAGGCGATTCCGCAAAATAGGCCCACTCAAATGTCACTTCAGTCACGTTGAGGTAGTCTTCCGTCAGGGCAATGATGCGAGTGCCGAACTCGCGCTGTCTTGATGTGAGACATTGCAACAACGCAGGCAAGGGGGCGACTTACGTCCTCGGTGAGCAGGTATCCCTTTCCGTCATCATCTTTGAACAGCCCCATGTCACGGCTCTGGAAGCCAAGAGGTCTGAAGCTGTCGATGTACTCGTACTTTCCGCATACAGTATCGCCAGTCGCCACTCCAACACGCGCATCCTTGTAGTCGGGGCTGTCGATGTGCAAGTACAGCACGTACTTATTGGTAGCGTCGTTGAAGATGACCTTGGGCCGCTCGACGATGCGCTCGGGTCCGAGGTCGCCGGCCTCTGTGGTCCGAGAGAGCAGAGCGCCTTCATACGACCACTCGATCAGGTCCTTAGACGAGTAGCAGTTGACATTCTGAAAGTAGGTCCCGTCCGTCTTGTCCTCGCCGATCATGTAGTAGGTCCCGTCGACCTCACTGCTACTTGATTAGTTCCGCCATCGACATGGGAACGTACAGCACGGTGAACGACTGACATCAATCCATGTCCGTGCGCCTGGACATGCTCTCCGGTATTCGTCTACATGATTTCAGCAAGCTGCGTGGTCATCATACTCGACAGACACGTACAGCAGTCCATGTAGCTCCAGGGATAATGTCGAGAGCAGCCTCGACAACTCCCACGGCAAGGGCCGACATGGCGTACGTCGCGAGTGACTTCATCGTGTATCAAGGACAGCTGAGCGGTAGTGCTTGAGTTGGGGAGATGCTCAAAGAAACGCCAGCTGGCTGAATCGCTGTTTATAAATTGCCCGGAACACTTCACTTCGGACCAGATTCAGACGCAATTTCGAGCTCAGGACTCTACGCGCTCCAATGAGCAAGCCAGTCGGCCGAGGGCACAGCATGTCCACGTGGGGTCATCACCGGAACAGGTTGAGGCGGCCGGGGAAGCCGGCACGTGCCAGGAACTCAACATGATGAGGGGCGCCGTCGATCGTGACTTGACTTGGTTGTTGACCCCTCATCTACGGTCGTATTCTCTCCAAGGGCGCGGGGCCCCATGGGGAAGGCAGCTTTGATTGTGGTTAGAAGCGCTGTTCCAAGCTTCTCGGGTGTTGCGCGGGTCAGGCCGTTACTTGGACCGACTGCCGATGCACGACGACGATCTTTTCGAGAACGCACATGGGTGTGGTGCTCGGTCCGAGACGGGCCGAAGAGTTCTCTGTAAAAAGGTGTCGACTGTCACGGTCAAGGCTATTATCACGAACACAACTGAAATATGGTCTCTCGAACATGAGTCGTCGTAATGAAGCCAGAGCCTGCGCCATGTCGGTTCCCAACTGTGATGCAGATATTGTTGGGTGGCGTCTTGCTGATAATGCCTTAGCACGCTGGAGTAAAAGCAAGCTGGTCAATAACTGAGGTAGAAGACCCTCGGCAATCGGCGTTTGGTAAGGTTGCATAATTAGAGATGGAGCGAGTGACTTTGTAGGAGCGGCTTGCTTCAAAAGACTCCATGTAGGAAGCATCGACACATCAAGACTCTCGGTCAATCGTCCCGACATACTAGACATGTGAAGAACCATGAACGAAATGACGTAGGTCCTAAGACTATCTGGGGGCTCCCGGACATTTCGCCGGACCAATTAAGTCATTGGCGCGACGGTCACAAACTGCCGCAATGACGCAGAGGACGTCTGGTGGAAGTGCTCCGAGGGATCGAACGCGTGGGGCATGAAAGCGAAACGGTGACCTTTCAAGACGCAAGTCCGTTGCTGCATGGCGTCGCTAGTTAAAAGAGAGAAAAAGAGAGCCCAGCGGTTGACGCGGGCTCAGCGAGCGTCAGAATGAGGACATTCGCAGAGGTGTGCGCAACGTGCGAGTCTGACGCCATGATCGACAGCGATCGACTTGCAAGAAGCATGCGGCTGGCGCGATTCGGACCACTACTGGAGCAGTTGGGCTGTGTTGTCATTTGAGCTGGACCGTTTTGCCAGTAATCCACGAAGGACGTCCTTGTCAGATGCTAGGATGAATACTCAGTTTTCCCTAACAAAGACGTCTCGTGGTGGAATGTCAGTTTGGTTGTTTGGCGATAACGTTTACTGAGCGGCAAATCGAAGCGCGCAGAATGACAGCGAGAGAATGTCCGTGACGGAGCTAGCCCTGCTGAACCTGCAGCATGCAGGGTCGTGTCTCATACCACCACCACCATCCTCGACGGGCAATTGATATTAAGGCTGAGAAGACCATCGACGCCAGCTGGCCGCAGACGCATCCCCCCTTGAATTGTTGGGATGTGTGGCAGTGATTCAAGCTGCTCGTGTTTGCCGACGCGACGAAAGTTTCGGTAGAGTTTATGCATGGTCAGCAACACGCAGCGTGATTGCGTGGCAAATGCACATCAAGACACCCTGCTGGCGACCGGAAGGGGGGTCGATAAGCCAGCCTGGCCTTTGCAGATATTCGCCATCAATTTAACGGCGACACGTCGGACAGGTACGCATCCCCTTCCCTTCGGCAACGAAAAGGTAGGATGATGTAAGGAGAAGCAATGCGACGGCCGCGTGTTGTCGCATTGGTTGACCAGTGCATGCGACCGTACCAAGCACAGTCGTCTCCCGAATGGCCCAGATGGACGGACGGGTATGCTATTCTCGCGCACAAACAAACATTGATAAGGTAGCGTCGAACCACCGAAATGACCAACGGGAAGGCGAAGGCGCTGAACACGAAGAGGATCGATCAGTCCCTTGGCCTCGGGTATCCTTGGCGGCCCGCCCTGACCGGGATACCGTTTTCAGAAATCAAGATCCGGAAGAGCCGCTGCCTGCCTGCTGGCAGGAGGACGCTGAGACGACGACAAATCATCCCACGCTTCACAGGTGCTGGCATGTGAATGCCCCTGGCAGATGACGTGGGGGATCAGCATTGTGTTTTTTTTTTGGTGTGTTCGCTTGACCCCTGACACACCCGTGGTTCGTTGAGGTTTCACGACATACACGCCATGGCGCACGCCCAACCGCGTGCTCGGGACCTGGCCAGCGTTAGATTGTTCGAGATGAGGAATCGAAGACATGGCGCTTGAGTCGACACATGTTGGGCGCAGGCGAGATGATTGAGCTCGATGGACAGGCACAGAGTCAGGGAAGACAGACAGGTCGACCAGGTAGGTCTATGCTGTTGCTCGGTGGCTTCGGATGACTCGATTGAGCGAACCTGAAGAGGGTCTCTCGATGGTTGGGGAGGGCCGCAGGGGCGACCAAGCGGTGATGAAAATGCAGAGATAGCAGGCGTCTCGCGCTCGTGTCGAGTGGTCTAGAACAGGCCTCTGGAACCTCGATGGGATGGTCGGCACATCGCTAGCTTGGTCAAGGTCTCCATTATTCTGATAGAGACCATCGTAAGGGGGCCCTGGGGTCGTAGGGGTCGAAGGTCGAAGGGTTCGAAGGGGTCGACGAGGGGGTGTGGTTTTGGCTTGATGCTTGGAAATAGAGGTCTCCAGCAGGGGAGAGGCACCATGTACTCGATCTCGGTCCAGACACTCCATGCCAACGGATGGGTCACCAAGGTCACATCACCAAGAAGTGGATGCCGTCTTGGGAGAGGGGGTCTTGAGGATCTCGTCTGTCCTGACTTGCCTGAAAACAACGGAACGACGGAACGGGAGACGAAAACGGATTGCGTGACGAGGCTGTCGTTAGCAGCAGCAGGTACCTGCGGCACCAGGGCATGGTGCCCTGGTACGGCCAGTGCGTTAGGCTCGGACGGCCGTGGAACCGTGCCGCGTGAGTGGGGGGCGCCAGCCTGGGCTACCCATTTTAACGACTCCAGTTTTATGGCTTTTTTTTCCCTGCTTCGCCTTCGGTTCCCGCTTTGCTGGCTCTTTGCGTTGCGCATCCATCTCAACTGTGACGGACTTCGGGAAGCTTTGCTCTGGCGTTGGCCTGGCCCCGCTACGATAAGCACCATCATGTTCAAGCATGCCTTGCGGGCAAAGAGCGGACATGCCTGCCATGCCTGCCATGCCTGCCACGCCCGGAGAAGTCATGGCATTGGTCGTCGTTGTCTTGGATGAAGGTCCTTCCTGGCCTTTCGCTTTCCATCAAATGCCCCCTCCATCCCTCCTTCATCCGGAACACCAGCTCGACTCTCTTGCTCCTCGACATGGTCTACGACACCCCAGTGTGCTGCTTTGCAGTCCCTTGACACATCACCGACACAGCTCAGTACCGTTATCCAGCAGATAACGCCCAAAGCGTTCATCAACTATTCGTCCTTACTCCGAGCATCATTCGTCTGAAGCGGCTTAGTAACGCCAGCCTTTTTGACAAGCTGATCAATTTCTCTTCATCTCTTACTACGCCGGCACGAAGGCCTCAATCGACAGCCAGGCGAGCTGACCATCGCCATGGCCGACCACACGTACCGAAGCGACTCGTCGAGCCCAGAGTCTCGAGACCCCTCTGGCTCCCCCGCGCCGGCAACCGCATCCACTCAGACCCACGGTGGGATCGTAATCCCTGAACCACCCCGGCCCGAGTACTCGAGGAGCAACTCGGATACCCCAAACAAGAAGGAGAAGAAGAGGGTGGGATTCACGGGTGGAAAGGAGGACCACCGATCCAGCATTCTCATCGATGACGGCTATCTCTCTCCTTCGAGCCCAACGCCCGATCCTTTTGCTACACCCAGACCCGAGGACGACCACACGGGAGATGGCCCCGAGCCAGCCGAGCTGCGAAGAGCCTTGACCCAGATCCTCATCACCGAGTCCGAGAACAACGAACCTACCGCCCCTGCCATTGCCATCACCGGCCCAGCTCGACCTCGCCCCGCCATCAAGCGCAACACGAGCTATGATGTACCAGACGAGCGGCAGAAGGCCGACTGGGCGGAGCAGAGAGCCTCGGAGAGACAGCAACGGTCCGGCGCTGAGGCCCGTCAGCGCGCCGACCGTCTTGCCGTCAGCGTCGAGCGAAGCTACTCCCTTCCTCCTTCGCGACGAGGATCTCTTGACAGGACTGCTGAGTCACTTGCCGAAGAGGACGAGGAGGCCGACAGTGTTGCGACTGGTCTGGACACATCCAGGTTTGCTGACGCTGGCGTTGTTCGATCGAGGCCGAGGAAGAACTCCCATCTGACGGCTGAGAACCTCGTGCGAACCCATACCCAGCGAGGCAGGCGGCGTGACGGAGACGAGATGTTCAGGTTCCGTCCTGAGGAGGGCGCCGCATCACGACCCGCGACGCCCACCGAGGAGAAGAATTACGCCCAAGAATACGTTCCCCGCCCTGAGAAGTACCACGGCGGCATCCTCGGATCCTTGTTGAAGCTTTACAACGACGGCGGCAAGGACAGCGGTGACAACAGCGGTCGTACTACGCCCATGACTGCCACGCCCAACCCCTCGCCGCCAGTCTCTCAACCGCCGTCGAGGCCCAGCTCAGCACATGGGTCCCCCCGGGAACGATCTCGCCCGAGTAGCGGCTTTTTTGGGTACCACCGGCACCAAGGGTCGAAGTCGTCCCTTGCCCTCAATGAACTCATGAAGTCGTCCTCCATGTTCATGGCGCCAGGATCGAACGCCATGTCCGGCTCGGTCGCCGAAAAGATCAAGACGGACCCGATCCCCGACCGGAAAAAGCGAAAGTCGGGCACGTGGGGAACAGCATCGCCCAAGAGCCACAAGTCAAAGGAGAAGAAGAAGCGTGACGAAAAGGTGCGCATCACGAAGCATATTGCTCAGATCTTGTCGCGTCACAAGTATCTCGTGAAGCTCTGCCGCGCCCTCATGATGTACGGCGCCCCCACCCATCGGCTGGAGGAGTACATGACCATGTCGGCCCGCGTCATGGAGATTGAGGGCCAGTTCCTCTACATCCCTGGCTGCATGATCATCAGCTTTGACGACAGCAGCACACACACGACCGAAGTGAAAATCGTCCGCACCTCTCAGGGTGTAGATCTCGGCAAGCTGAGAGATGTGCACGAGCTGTACAAGGAGGTCGTGCACGACCGCATGGGTGTCGATGAGGCTACGGTCAAGTTGGACAACATCATGTCTCGCAACCTCAAGTTCAACAACTGGGTTCGCGTCCCCGTGTATGGCCTTGCCAGTGCCTGCGTTGCGCCCTTTGCGTTCCAGGGTCGCTTCATCGACATGCCCATTGCTTTTCTCCTGGGGTGCATACTGGGCTGGCTGCAGTTGATTGTGGCGCCCAACAACGAGCTGTACGCCAATGTGTTTGAAATCACGGCAGCCATCATCACGTCGTTCCTCGCCAGAGCCTTTGGTTCCATCAGGGGTGGCCAACTGTTTTGTTTCTCGGCACTGGCACAAAGCAGTATCGCCCTCATCCTCCCCGGTTACATGGTTCTTTGCAGCAGTCTCGAGCTGCAGAGTCACAATCTCGTCGCCGGCAGTGTTCGCATGGTGTACGCTATGATCTACACGCTTTTCCTCGGTTACGGTATCACGATCGGCACGGCCATTTACGGCTTGGTGGACCGCGAACACGCCGTCTCGGACACTTTCTGCCACAACCCCCTCGACAGAAAGTGGCATCTGCTTTTTGTGCCGGCCTTCACGCTCTGCCTGTGCGTCGTCAACCAGGCCAAGTGGAAGCAGACGCCCGTCATGCTGGGTATTTCGCTGGCCGGTTTCGTCGTCAACAGTTACTCGAGCGACTACTTCCAGGGCAACACGCAAATCTCCAACATGCTCGGCGCCCTGACGGTCGGCATCCTCGCCAACCTGTACTCTCGTCTCGGCCGGCACGTCAACACGGCATGGTTTGAGTTCGTCGACTGGTTTCAGCTGCGTGTGGCTCCGCGCTTCCGGAGCTCCAGCCGCCGACACAACGAGCGGCCGGCCGAGTCGTACCAGATGCACGGCCACACGCCTCTGGACGTCGAATCTCGACCGAGCTCGCCCAACTCAATCGAGAGAGAAAAGGCCGAGCATGAGCCGCCTCGTAAGCAGAGGACGGTCGGCTACGGCCTCGCGGCGGCAGCCATGCTCCCGGCCATCTTTGTTCAGGTGCCTAGCGGTCTCGCGGCGGGCGGCTCGCTCCTGGCAGGCGTCACGTCAGCGGATCAGATCACCAGCGGCAGCAACGGCACGAGCACGGGCGGAGCGGGCGGGCAGGAGCTTAACACGTCTGCGTTCAACGTGCTGTTTGCCGTCATCCAGGTTGCCATTGGCATCACTGTCGGGTTGTTCCTCAGTGCGCTTATTGTGTATCCTCTGGGGAAGAGAGGGGGAGGACGGAGTGGATTATTGAGTTTCTGAGGGGACGTTGTGAGTGAGTGAGCGAGTTGAGAGGGATGTGAGAGAAGATGGCAAGTCCTTGCAAAGTCTTGCACGTCGTGTGAAGAAAGATTGGCTTCCACCGCCCACGCTCGGGTCGGAACGGAAGAAACCCGATATGACTATAGACTTGGATGGAGGGTTATCGTCGTCTAGCACGACATGGTGTGGCATGGCATCAGCATGAGCATCAGTCTCATTATTGGCAACGGCATTAGCATTCAGGAAGGGATACGGAACCTTCCGGACACGACATTCACCGGAGTTATGGGGTTTGATTTGGCGGGGTAGCGAAGCGTCTGTCTGGTATGTACATGTACTCGGAATGGGAAACGTACACGAGATATTTTCTTTCGGCTATTCGACGAATATGCTCTGGTGCCTGATGAACAATACATGTCACGGTTGCACGGAGCGCCGCGGACGAGAATAGGACGAGGGGATCGAGGCGCGGGACAGCACGGAGGCGCCGCGACGGGACTGCATGGTCGTCAGTGCTGGTCTCGCTTGTGTGCTTGACTTGACGCGCCGTTGAGCTCACGCTGATGAATTGCATTTTCGGACGAATCATCCCACCACCGCAGCGCCTCCTCTTCCCTTGGCATCACGTTCCGTCTCACCAAAGGGAAAGGGGGGAAAAGCTTCCGGACGTGGAGAGTCCCCGAGTCAGACCTACAACCTCTATACCTGTAGTAACACGGGTTTACTTCCTCTCCACGTGAGCTAGCTCCGTGCTTCTCTCGTCCCTGACGTCCCCCAGAAAAAGCTTGACTGGTCACAACGTGGTACCAGGTGTTACACGACGCCCTCCCCCCCCCTGGCCATCTCGAGAGCGGTCAATTGCCCGCGCGACAAAGAACCGGTAGGTGGAATGGCCTGACCGAGTGCACGTCGCCCACGCAATGCTGGAAAGCTCCGCTTCAGCCTCCCATCCCACGCGCTCTCCTCTCGCCCCCCACCTTGTTCCCCCCCGGCTCATTTTCGAAGCGCATTCGGCGATGGCTTCTCGAACAATGCTAGTCAGAGCACGCCGCGAAGAAGCCAGCGGGCGGCGCACTTATTCGACTCACTGATCCCCGCAGGCGCAGGGGGCTTCAGCCGTGGCGTTCTGTTGCCTGCCCGCGGATGCCCACAGGTGTCGCGTCCACGGTCTGGAATCCCATTGACAGGTCTGTCACGGAAGCGAAGGACGGGCAGGGAAGGACGGGCAGGGGTTGGAATATTCTTTTTCCTTTTCCTTCTTGGGGGGCTCTCCCGCCCGGACAGAAGTGCGCGGTGTCCCCACGACGATGCAGGGATCAGTAACTTTCGGCTCTTGCGAGGGTTTGGGGGGGGTAGGTAGGTTGTGCGCGTGCGCACGCAAACGCCCTTCCCGCTGTGCCAAGAGTCTGGGCGATTGCTTGACTTTTTGAGCCTCCTGTTCGAAAAAGGGAAAACGTCAGACGAGGGCGACTGCTTTGCGATGCACGTCAGGGACCCTGCGGTTGGGCAGATAAACTACCGGCCCTTCCCAAGAGACATTTACCAGAGGGACAAGGACGTATACAGGCAATGATTGTCGCGAGATTTTGCTTAGCTTCGGGAGAGTCGAGAATTAAAGATCGCACAGCCTCCCCCAGAAGAAGCTTATCGGTAAGCTTGTTGGGCCTCTGGGGAAAAGAGGGAGAAAAAAAAAAGAGGGAGAAAAAAAGACCTGGAGGCGTTTCGCTTGCGGTGGCCTACGGGGCGTTTGTGAGCCGTGGGCTGGCTATGCCGGTCTATCCGTGCCAGCGTATCGTCGACGTGACGATCCCCTGCAAGACCGCGGAAGACGGCACACTCGACGAGTCATCGGGCTTTTTCGGTCAGTGGTTGTGTCGAACGGGAGGATCCAAGCGGGGGAGGCTCCTGTTATTTTTCGATGATTTGGGGAAAACAAAGATGCGGAGAAGAGGAGAGAGAGAGAGAGTCACGACTCTCAACAAGTGGCCAATCTGTCTTATCGAAATGGGGGGTCGGACAGTTGGTGGGGGGGTCCTTCAGGAGTTGCTGTGGTGTTTTACGAGGTTGCGTTGTGTTCGAACAAGTAGCGGTGATGGCGACTTTGGGAGGTTTGGCCTTATTTTTAGGGTTCCTTTGTTTGGCAAAGTGTCGATCTTGGTCTGTTCGCTGTGCTATCTGTCCCTTGGTGTTTCTTCAACCACTTCTTCAAACCTCGACTTGGACGTCTTGCTTCTTCCTCTCTGGTCTGTCACATTTCCAATCAGCAAGGATGGTGTGAAGAGGAAATGGAATACGCTACACGACGTCAACCCTGCATAGTCCGTGTCTCTCATGGCATCACCACCATCAGCGCTACCGCCACCACCTAGATCAACAATAACTCCTTTCCAACCCCCCCCCCCCCCCCACGACAGCACCCGATACAACCCATTCCGTCGATGCGACATGAATACTTTTCCCTCACACCATTCCCCACACGGAAACCCCTTGCCTCCATCATTTCCCCTCATCACGAATCTCAGTGCCCCCAGCTCCTCCTCACCTCGTGTGGATCGCCCTTTGTCTTACTCCGCAAGGTTACCACCTGACACGGGGTAGCGGATCATCAGTTGCTGTTGGCCCGGTTGGCTGCCATTATTCTCTCTGCTCTGTACCTGGTCCCGCGTGCATGCGACCACCCTGTCGTGGCTGCGGTGCGGCGTCACACCACGGACTCACTGACCACGTCGCTCGGTCAAGGCCGGGTACCCCATGGGCCGTGGCACTCCGGGGCGTGTAGGACGCGGGGCAGATAAGGTGTCTGATCTTGTTGTAGGCGAAGTGGAAATCTCTTACTGGTCATATTGTCTGAGTGAGTGCCGAAGTATAAAGACGGTGGCTGTCGTCTTCCAGATGAACCTCCCTCTACTCTCAAACTCTTACTCAGTCGTCGATTCACCTTCCATCGACACATCCCTTCGGCCAACACCCTTTTCACCATTGTTTTCGTCCTTGTGGTATTCTGCCACCCACAGACACAACCAGAAGCTTTTTCAACCACCCGCAAGATGGCCGTCACACAGGCGGACCCCCTCGCCAAGGGCACTTTCGCCACGGCCAAGCAGTCCCTCCGCGACCTCACAGTCTGGCGCCAGCGCGTCGTCGTCACGACCCCCGAGGGCGAAACACACACAGAGTGGCGCGACCCCGACCCCATTCAGAACCCCATCACCCTCCTCGCCCAGCTGTCTGCTCGCGACTGGCTCTTCTTCGTCGTTGGCTTCCTCGCCTGGACAGCTGACGCCTTTGACTTCCACGCCCTCTCCATCCAGACCAAGAAGCTCGCCACCTACTATGACCGTTCCAAGACGGACATCACCACGGCCATCACCCTGACGCTGCTTCTCCGATCAGTCGGTGCTGCGGCCTTTGGTCTGGCTGGTGATGCTTGGGGCCGCAAGTGGCCCATGGTTGCCAACATGATCATCCTCGGCCTGCTGCAGATCGCCACCATCTACAGCACCACCTTCCAGCAGTTCCTCGCCGTCAGGTCTCTGTTTGGTCTCTTCATGGGAGGTGTCTACGGAAACGCCATTGCCATGGCGCTGGAGCACTGCCCGTACGTTATGATCCTGACTGCCGATCCCTTGCTTGAGGGTTCGAAGTAAGATGAGAGTGAGACACTAACACACGGCCCAGGACGAACGCTCGCGGTCTCATGTCCGGCATTCTACAACAGGGCTACTCCTTTGGCTACGTGCTCGCCGCCTGTGCCAACCTGGGTGTCGGTGGTGAGACAAACACCTGGAAGACGGTCTTCTGGATCGCTGGTAAGCTTATCAGTCACATTTCACTTTTCCAGCAAAGCACCTGCTGACAAAAATCCTCTCCAGCCGGCTTCTCCATCGCCGTCGGTCTCGTCCGCGTCGCCTTCCCCGAGTCTCAGCAGTTCCTCGAAGCCAAGGCCAGCGGTGCCAAGTCGCACACGTCGGCCGGCGACTTCTGGCGGGCGACGCGGGCCATGATCCGCGCCGAGTGGCGCATGTGCATCTACTGCATCATCCTCATGACGTGGTTCAACTACTACTCGCACACGTCGCAAGACTCGTACACGACCTTCATGCTCACGCAGAAGCAGCTCGACAACGCCGCCGCCTCGCGCGCCTCGATCCTCATGAAGACGGGCGCCTGCGTCGGCGGCACCATCATCGGCTACCTGTCGCAGTTCTTCGGCCGCCGCCGCGCCATCATCGCCTCGGCCCTCATCTCGGCCTGCCTCATCCCCGCCTGGATCCTGCCCCACGGCGAGCGCAGCCTCAGCGCCAGCGGCTTCTTCATGCAGTTCTTCGTCCAGGGCGCCTGGGGCGTCATCCCCATCCACCTCAACGAGCTGTCGCCGCCCGCCTTCCGCTCGTCGTTCCCCGGCATCTGCTACCAGCTCGGCAACGCCATCTCGTCGCCCTCGGCCCAGATTGTCAACGCCATTGCCGAGAATACGCTCATCACCATCCAGGGCAAGAAAGGCCCCACAAAGGTTGAGGCGTTTGGCCCGACCATGGGCATCGCCACCGCCATCATTGCCATGGGCATCGTCTGCACGACCATGCTGGGTCCTGAGAAGAGGGGCCGCTCGTTTGAGAATGCTGTGGCCGGCGTGCAGACGGACGACCACCTCGAGCAGAAGGTCGCTGACATTGAGAAGGACGAGGAGGCTGGCGTTGAGTCCAAGGAGGAGTCGCGGGTTGAGACGGCGCGGTAGATGAGTGGCAGATGCTTACATCTAAAGGTTAGAGACGCATTGTGTCCAGGTAGTGCTCTTGATGCATTAGCGTTCGAGCGGCGCGCACGCAGGTCTTGAACTCAAAACAATAGATCAAAATTATAAACAATCTTGTGTTATTATAGAGGTTGTGATACCGTTTGTTGATCCACTGGGGTAAAAATTGCAATCCATCCCTCGTAAATCCACGGCATTGTGGTTGAATCTTTCTGGCTCGCTCTACGCTTCTATGCAGCGTTAT